TGGGCACCTTAGTGAGGCTAAGTGAGGCGGCCTACATTAAGTTGACCAAAACCTGACTGGATGAAGAGAATTTTTTTGAGCCTGTGAATTGGTGCATATTGCTGCTGATTTTTTGGAAAGCCTGTCTGGGTTTAACTTTACTAGGATGTGGACTCACAAGGTTCCAACTGGAATGAAGATTCTTCACATCAAAGAATACGATTGTCTCCTCAGAGAACTGGGTTGATGTAAGAGGGTAGTATAGACATTGGATAGACAAAATTGGGTGGAAAAATGGGTGAAGTGGCTGGTTTACAAACTTTTATCGGTGGGGGAATATATTCACAGGATTATAGGATTAAGATGTAGGTGTTCACTTAATTGCAATTGTTAGGCATAGAATATTGTCTTGTTCACTTACAGAATATTATGTTTAAATGAGGCTGGCACATATTGAATTGTATGCATTTTAGTTTTATTCTGTTAGATATATTTTATTATTTTGTTTTAAAATTATGTATGGCTAAAGAGTTGTGTAAAGGTGTCAAGTTGACAAGGGGTGGTCTGTAGTAATTACACAATTTCATGTCAACTTGATATAAGAAGGAAGGGGTGGGTTCTAGCCTATCAATCAGGTCACAGCCTGATGATCCCTCCTTGGGGCATGGCCTTCTCATGAGAATTATGGGAACTCTCCTGCTGCTACACATTCCTGTTGACAAGCCACATGGAGCCACGCTGATGGTAGCCAGTGCCCTGGAGATGTGTCCATTGCCACTGGACCCACAGGACTTTCCACCCATCGGCCTATGATCTTCCTGCATTTGGCATCATTGCACTTAAGGACAAACATCGAACTTATGGACTTGACCTGGACTGGGATGGGATGCTTTATCGTTGCATAATTACTTCTTGATATAAAGTTCTCTCTTACACATATTTGAGTGTCAATGAAGTTGTTTCTCTACTCAATCCGGTCGAGCACAGAATCCTAACTGAAATGTTTCAACAAGCTGATGAAGCACTGGAATCCCTCACTCATTTGTGTCAGGAAATTCGGGAGATAGCTACTTGGCCAAATGACTACATTTTTACCCACTCCAAAGGAAGGTGACCCAACAGAATGCTCAACCTATAAAACAATATCACTGATATCACATACAAGTACATTTTTGCTGAACATCATCCAACAACGATTGCAACAGTACACTGACAGGCAACTGCCAGAGGTTCAAACTGGATTCAGAAGAGGCCATGCAATAAGTGTTATCAATGCTGAAGTCAGATGAATCTTGGCTGAAAGCAGATAATAATACCAGAAATAAATTTACTTGTTTTATTGACTACAACAAGGCATATGACTATATGAGTCATAACAAACTATGGACAGCCTTGGAAATTCCAGAACACTTCACTGTGCTCACGTGGACCTTGTGCAGAGATCGAGGCACTTGTGTGAGCAGAACAAGGGAATAGTGCATGGTTTAAAACCAGGAAAGGTGCCAGGGTTGTATCCTCTCACCACACTTATTCAATCTGGTAGTCAAGTAAGTAATCAGAGAATCTGGCGTATCTGAGGGAGAATGTGGTATATGGATCAGAGGAAGGTTGAACAATCCTGTTGAGAGAGAAGGAATTCAAGCAGTTGCTGATGAGGATCAAGGACTGCAGCCTTCGGTATTTATTACAACTCCATGTAAAGAAAACCCAAGTCCTCACACTGGACCCGTAGGTAACTAACATCAGGATACATGGAGACAAGTTTGAAGGTGTTTAGGATTTCATCTGCATGGGGTCACAGTGCTCATGGAAGCAGCATCAAGAGATTAAAGGTTGTTCTGAGTTGCATAAACCTGCTGCGCAAGGCCTCTTTTACATGTTAAAAAGCAAGGAGGTTACTTTGAGGTCTACGATGTCCCTGATTAAAGCCATGGTATTTTCAATTGCCTCATAGGCATGTGACAATTGGAAAATGAATAAAGAAACCTGCAAAAGTATCCATGTGTTTGAATTATCATGCTGGCGGAGAATATTGAAAGTCCCATGGAGTGCCCGGAGGATAAACCAATCCATCTTGGAAGGAGTTTGGTCAGAGAGCTCTTTAGAGGCAAGGATGGCGAGACTTGGTCTTCTGTACTTCGGACATGTCAGGAGAGACTGCTCCCTGGCAAAGGATATCATGCTTGGTAGAGGCGCAGCTGAGAAGAGGAAAGCTCTCAGTGGGCTGGACTGATACAGTGGCTTCGACAACGGGTTCCAAGGGGAGCAATGGTGAGGATGGTGCAGGGCGGGGCAGCGTGTCCTCCTGCTATCCATCATGTCGCTATGAGCTGGAGCCAACTCGGCGGGCCCTAAGAACAGCCGCTACCTCTTCAGAGGCTCCCCACAGGAGAAACAGTCACAGACGGCACTCAGGCACTTTCCGAAGTGCCAAGGCTGTCTAAATCCCAAAGCAGTTCAGTCTCGAGTCCTACTCCAGGGCTCGTCAAAGTAACAAGCCAGTTTGGACTGCTGCTATTTCTGGCAGAACCCAAAAGGAACAATACATATGTAGTCATACAAAGGAGCTTTGCAAATGAAGAGGGAAAATGAGAATGCTCATAAAGCAAAAAAATGAGCACAATGTTGGACCACCTGCACCGAGCTACTTCCTATTCCAAAGAGACCAAAGGGGCGCAGACACTGCTTTGCTGAACCAGTAGACAGGGACTTGCTGCTGATTTGCATATTTGTCCTTTCAACTCTGAATGAACTCCTGTAACTGAGAATTCTGAAACGCCTGCCTTGACTCTGACCTATCTCAAGGCTATCAGCGTGATGAATAGGAATGCTCTGCAGAAATGGGGACTCTGCTAGGCATGCTACCAGGTCTCCTGCCTCTAAAATGGAGTTGTTGAGGTGGAATTTGTAATAACCACTGGAGCGTGGGATTCCGCTGTTCAAGATTAAAACAAACAGTTGGGGGAGTGTGGTACTTACATAATTTCATGACAACTTGATAAATCGGTCTAGGGGTAGCGTTTAGTCTGTCGATCAGGTCACAGCCTGATGATGCCTCCTTGTGGGCAAGGCTTGCTCATGAGTTTTCTGGGTTCTCTCTCTCTGCCTTTGTCTTCCTGTGGAGAATCCAGGTGGAGTTACACCAAGACTTGCGCGAACAATGAGGCAGAGAGCGCTGCAGAGACAGCCGTGTGGCCCTTCCACTGCCATTGGATCCATAAGCTGTTACCCCCACAGGCCTGGCTCTGCCTGCATTGGGCATCACTGCATGTGCCGTGTGAGTCTGGTCACACCAGCAAAGCAGCAGCAGATCCGTGGAAGAAAGACTGCAAGTTACGGTCTCAGAAACCTACAGGGGTCGCTGTGAGGCAGGATTGACTCGATGACAATGAGTAGACTTACCTTAGCAGGGAATGTGATCGCAAAACCCAGGGAGTTCTTAAGAGTTTAAAAAGGCCTTGTGGCTTCCAGTACTTGTGGTTCTACTAGTCAAAGTCTCTTAACTCGGACCAAACGACCTTTCCCTGCATGGGTGGGGTAAGATGCGTTAAGATACTGGTAGAATTCACATGTAACTGTGAACAGGATTACCTAGAATGCCATCCTGCTGTGTATAGAGTAAGCCCTCTGAGGAGGAGGGACCTCATTACCAGCAAGAGCCAGCAGTGGAACATATCCTCTGACCCAAGATCCCTGGTGAACTTCCTGGAGCCAGATGCGGTGAACCCAAGATGCGGTGAACTTCCTGGAGCCAGAAGACAGCTGACACAGCGGAGCAGCAGCACCAGGACCCAGAGCATGGAACTGAGTGGTGGGCTTCCCAGGCCATGGAGAAAGTTGATTGCTTTTGTGTAGGAGGCTGATTTGGGGAGTGGGGCGTCTCTGGGTACTAGATTGGGAAAGTTGGACTTGCTGACTTGTGCAAGCTGGAAGTGGAACTGAATGCCTGCAGGAATAACCTTTACGTCACTCCATACACACGCTCGTGTAACCAAGTCCTGAAAGAACACCTCTGCCGCTAGGTTTAGGGTAAACGTTCATGGGCGAAGGGAAGGGTGCATCTTTTCAACGGGGTAGACGCCACTGGAGCGGGGTGCCTCTGGGCACTAATTCAGGGAGTTGGGCTTGCTGACCCATGGAGTTAGAGCAAATGACTTTGGGTTGAGGCTTTTAGCCTTTGGGCATTTGTTAGCAGACCCTAAAAATGTTTGTAACTTGTCCTGATACACAACTATGTCCTGAGGATTTCTCACATGCATTACAAGTTGTACAGCCTGTCAAATTCCTTAATAAACCCTTAAATCAGGAATAGTGTCTGTGAGTTCCGTGTCGCCATTGCAATGGATATTGGACCCGAGAGGTAAGTAGACTAGTGAAAACAACACAAAGCCTGAGCTGCAAAGATTAGCATATGATTGAGGTGTTATGCTTTCAGGAGAGGTGCATGATACTGGTGTAGTCCTCATGGGGACACACACACACACACCGGAACTTCAAAAAGTAGGTGCAAAAATGTCATCTTTTCATTCCACTTTCCCACCAGCTTTCTGAAGGCCCTGTGCGATTTTACTACTGCACAACCTGCCGTTGCTCTTCAGTCGCGAGGGAACAAGGCTCAAGTGAAGAGGAACAGCAAACACACAGAGCAGGCTTCGGTTTGGCGCAGTAGCTGCTAAGTTTGAGGGCTGGTCTCCTGGAAGTCATTTACTTCTCAACGCCACTCCCACAGATTCTTCAGGTCCTAAGACTCCCGCAGATTTGGGGGGCTCAGAGGGCAGAAAGCCTGTTTTGTTAGGGGTGAATAAAACTGGAACTTGAATTAGACGTGAAAACCAATCAACCAACCATCACCTTTGTGAATACAAAGTTCGAGGAGTGAAGCCCTCAGCAGTTGGTTTGATTCCTCTGAAGAAGTGAAGTCAGTTCTAGACCTTCTGCCATACTTTTGATTTTGGGGGGTCTGGGGGTGGGTGGGTAGTAAATAGTAGGTATTTATTTTAAATGAAAAGAAAATACTGAAGTACCTGGGCTATTGCATTTAATCATGTATTGTAACTGGGTTACGCTCCCTTTTTGCATCAGAGACGGATACACAACGCACAGTCAGGGATCACAGATTGCACACCAGACAGTCCTTCTGCAGGCCGTGTACACGCCACCAGACACGGGTCCTGCCGTCCAGTACAAAAGTCCACAGTCAGTCCAGTCTTAGCCAGTATCTTCAATTTACTTCTGTTGCTGTACAAATCATTGGCCATTACTTGGGCTTACAAGTTAATAGCAGGACAAAACTATACATTGCACTGACACAGAAAGTCAGCTGTGTTAATAGTCATGCAACAAGTAACCAAACTTGCTGAAATTAAAAATACTTTCTAAAAACAGTTTTAACAGCATAAATATTTTATACACAGTTCATTTACCAAAACAAAATGTCTTTAAATGATACAAAGCAAAAATAAGTTTCTACCAACTTTATACATAAGAAAGTGCAAAATAACTTATCTATAGAGTGTTTGCTATTATCCGGACAGATGGCTGCTACGGGCAGCTATTCTTCTCTTGAAAAGCAAGACATGACAGTCGTGTGACGCACGTGTGTTGGAATACACGGATGAATGGATGGATGACGGATGAATGAACAGACAGACTACAAAGATCAGGCAGGAGCCCTGTGAGGTACTCTCAGAGAGAGAATACAGACCACCCAAAGGTGGACGACATTTTGAGAATATATATATTGGTAAACAAATTTACATGGAACAGAACAGTTTATCCAGAGGAACAGGTGTATGGAGGTGAGTGCAATCGTATGTGTGAGTGCTCTTGTGATCTCTGCCTTGAAAGCAAAAGCAAAGACACCCTGCGGAGCAGAGCAGTTGCCCACAGCACCAGCTGCCAGAGGAAATACTATCATGAGGATTTGGGTTTCCACCTTCTAGTCATGGGAGTTGTGCTGGAAAGTCTGAAAGTGTTTATCCCATAGAACTTCGTATCACAGAGAGGAATAACCTTTAAGTCACTCCGTACACACGCTCATGTAACCAAGTCCTGAAAGAATACCTCTGCCGCTAGGTTTGGGGAAAACGTGGTTCATGGGCGAAGGGAAGGGTGCATCTTTTCAAAGGGGTAGACGCCACTGGCGCAGCTCAGTCAGAGGGCTGGCAGCGGCCAAGCCTAGCCACAAGGCCATCGTACAATCTCTGCCTGCCACCTTGTGAACACCCAGCGTGATCCATGAGAACTGAAGTCCGATGAAGATGGGGAGGAAGAGACTGACACAGGAAAACAGAACAACTCTTTTTCGAGTTAAAGTATCAATGCCAAGAATCCTGTAATTGACGAGCATCTCTGAACCGTAAGAAATGGAAGTGTCTTAATCAATTCGGATATGTAATCGGAAATAGAAGGTAGGTTCAAACCTAGGTAAATAAGGATTTAAATTTAGTAAGCATAAGGCACTAAAGCAGCCTTTATATATATATATATATATATATTTGTTTTTCTTGGAGACCTAGTTATCAGGAAGAACACATTGTTCTTAAGCTGGTTTCAGCCCATAGGTACAAGGTTACGGCTGTACCCAATGCCTAGTTTTGAACGCGTGTGCATATATGTGCATTTAGTGCATAAGTGTGCCTGTCATCAGGGCCTAAAGATGGAGAGTTGGGAAAGGCAAACAAAGCCACTGTCCCTTGAATGAGGCTACATGAGGGCATGAAGGCCTGGCCTTCTTTTCTTGGCCCGGTAACAATCCTACGTTTTCCAAATCACAGGGCTTTTAGAATGGTTCATAATATTATCACTAAGTATCTGGAAATGTGAAAATCTAGATTAATTGTTTCATTTGTTTTATATATATATATATGTACATAACACACATTAAAAAAAAGAAAATCCCACCACCTAAGCCTTTCTCGTGTACATTAATCTTCTGAAGCCCCCGCCAGCATTAATCCCGAATCTGTGTGTTCTGTATCCAACTATTCGACCAAATTAAATAACTAAATATTAAAATACTGTAATTATATTCATAGCAAAAACAAAAATATAGACATTGATACAGTATAAATCTCACTGTTTCCAGGTAGATGGTAATAAATGGCAAAGGTTAATCTTAAGCAGTTCTGACATGATCCAGTTTTAACAACAAGGTTTATAGGTTAATTCTGTACACTTTCCCCTCCCGTTACCCTTTTTGTTGCTGAAAAGACGCTATCGTAGAACACGAGTGTCCACACGGACACATTACAGAGTGTGTTCGATGCGAGGAGCTAGTTTTGGGTTACATGCACATATTCCCAGTAGTTCCTGCACTACGGTGGTCAACTGGCCTCTTTACGGACCGCGGAGAAGGTCTGCTTGGACCCAACAGCGGTCTAAGTAGAAGGGGCCTTCCCACCAAGAACAACACTGAGGTGGTCTGCAGCCAACACCCCGAGATTCCCAGGTTACCTTCCGATGGGAACCCTATCCTCCGCACTGTCCTATAGGTCTGCGTGATTTTGGTTGCTAGCCTAGTCGGGGTGGAGATACTGAAAGAAACAAAGACCATCAGGCACACAGGCTGAGTTTGGAAGGAAAAAAAGACCGCAGGATGCCTTTGCAGACTTACAAAGCACACGCAACCCCACATGTAGAAGGAACTGGTGAAGGAGCAACGCCAGACAACCCATGAGTAGTTGGTTGAGTTAGTGGTTTAGTTTGAAGTTTCATATTACAGACATAAGTCCTTATTTAGAAAGAAAAGAAAAAGAATAAAAGGCCTTTATATCTATTTACAATATACAGTTACTTGCAAAGAAGTGAGATTTACAACCGTCTTCTAACAGCCTTTTCCAAATAAGGATGGGTGAGGAGCGCTAGAAAAACTGGGATGAGACACAGGCAGGCGCGGGGCTTTGAGTGCTCGAGACGGCTACTGTGAACAGGGAAAACAGAATCCTGAAACCGCGGCTGCTATGAACCACCTGCTGCTTCTGCAGCTGGCCACCTGAATAGCGCTCGCCCCGTTACTGTACTCGACACCCGTTTATTCAGTGATCCCTTTGAATTCAGCACTTCAACCGCACGGGGTGAAGAGATGTGTAAACGGAGACTGTGCCCATGCCTTCCGGGAGCTGCGATCTGTGACGGAGGAATTGGGAAGGGGTCCGACAAACCAGGGCCTTTGATGAGCTTGTTGGATCTTCAGCAATTTCGAGGTCCGTCCTCTGAACCCCGTTCATGCTGCAAGTTGTAGTAACAGTTCTGACACACACGTACCGGCGACGATATTTTCAAGCGTTTGATCTCTGATTGGAATCGACTGCACCTGAGAGGAGAAGAAATCAATTAGGCCCAGGGCTGCCGCTTCTGGGAGGACTACGCTCAAATAGGCACATTTAAAACCACATGCTAAGCTTGCAGTCTAGCAAGCCAAAGGCCACAGACAGTCTGGAGACCAGGACAGACTAGCTGGCCTGTGTTCTTGTGGTTGATGAAGGGCCGGAAGGAAGGCTGCATTCGTTCTTGCCGTCTATGAAGCAATGGACGCTTCGGCCACAGAGAGCTAGCTCTTTGACTTAGAACTCACACAATAACCACAACAGAAAGTTAAGAACTTTCTGCAGGCTGAGGCCACTTGCCTGCGTGGGACTGGCGCATACCGCCTTCCCCTACACACGGGAGGTGTGTAAACTATCGTTACTTGGAGCTGGAAACTCACTGCCTGGATTACAGGACATTCTGGACACTATCAAAAGTTCCTTTGGGGAGGCTTCCTCACCCCCCCGCCCCCACCAATCTGCTTCTCAATTCAGACTAGACTGGAACATGGATACGGGTATAGATAAGGGATGGGAGCTCACGACTCACAGATTCCAGGTACAGGAGTGGGAATGGGGAGAGGAAGGGAGAAAGGGGGAACCAATTGTTATGATCGACACATAACCATACACCCCTGTACAGAGGGAAGAACAACAGAAAACGTAGGGGGTGGGAGACAGCGGTCATGTGAAAGATGAAAATGATAACAATGTACAATCTATCAAGGGGTTGAGGGTGGGGGTGGGGAGGGAGGGGTGAAAAAAGAGGAACTGATACCAAGGGCTCAATAGAAAGTAAATGTCTACAAAAGAATGAAGGCAACAGATGTACACATTTGCCTGATGCAAGTGATGTATGGATTGTAACAAGAGCTGTAGGAGGCCCCAATAAAATGGAAAAAAAAATTCCTTTGGGTTTTTAAACACTGATAATTTAAGTGACTTCTTAAACAGCTAGTTTGCCTTTGCTGCCTGGTCCAAATGGCCTCCTTTTCTGCTATTCTTAATAGGATTGCTTGAATGGAGATAGACTTAAGAGATATTCACATTCTTTCAAAAGCCTTCAGGGACCCTATTCTTGGAATAAAGCTAGGTGTGACCTTGTCAGAAGCGTGGACTCACGGGAAGCGTGGCTTTTCCCAAGACTAAAATGATCCTTTGCTATGTACTCACCCGCGGAACCAGTGAAGGGCTACAGGTAGAGAGGCGGAAGGGACTGTTGCTGTCACCCTGAGGAAATCCGGGGAGTGCACGAGATAATGCTTGTTGTCCACCCTTCTGGACAGCCCGCTCCATCCTAATCAGCCAGCACACGACAGCAGCAGAGGGTCTAAAGGATCACCTGCTGTGTGCAATGGATCCCTTTACTGTGGCCTCTCTAGCTAGTCTTGTAATTCTCGGCAAATGACTGGGTGGGGCCATGCTAATAAGGTGCTGCGGCCCACCAAGGAGATGACACAGCTTGCCACGCAAGCCTCTAAGTGTGTGATGCCTCTGTGGGGCTAGGACCAGGCAAATAAGGTACATGGGTCCCTAAGGAGGGGACTGGTCAGTTTTGCCATCCTGAGAGCTTTAAAATGAGCCAGAGGTGGGAAGGGAGAAATACCTCACTAGCAGTATATGGTGTACTTTGGACCTGGAGTCCCTGGCTGAGCACTTTTGAGACCCAAGAAACAGAACGAGAGAGCTGTAATACCAGAGAGTAGCATGAGGCAGTGAGGAGTAGTGGCAGAGAGCTGGCAGCAGCCCCAGGCACCAGGTGGCTACCGTAAGTGCACGGAGTCATGAATTACGATCACTAAGTATTCCTGGCAAGCACCTTGGCAAAGTGGGGTGCCTCTGGGCACTCATTGGGGAAGCGATTGAGCTTCATAGCAGGGCAGGGGTGAGGCTGAGTGGTTGTTGATGGCCACAGAGGTCTGCCTCCAGATATTGTTGAGAAGTCACTGTCCCAGTCAATGAACTGTATCCTCAGTTGGACCCACCTGGTCCTGCATCGAAGCGTGTTACTTCTTAATCATGTGACCCCACAATCATGAGTTGTGTGTGGCCACTGACCACACTCCTGAGCCCAGAGAGAAGCAGTATGCTCCACAGGAGAGGTGGCTGTGGCCAGAGAGATATAGGTCCCTGCCCCTCACAGCCCTCAGTCCTGAGCAGCAGATCCCGATTCTCCTTCCCAGCGTGCCAGGTAAGAACCATGCAGGTGTATAAGGGACTCAGGTTGACAGATGATGTTCACATCATTGAGAATGGGGCAAATTGACCTTCTGCCTGGGGGCAGGAGGGAGGGAGGGGATCCCTCCTCCTATTACAGTAACCCCAAATAAATCTCAAATGGATTAAAGACCTGTATGTGAAAACAAAACCTCTGAAACATGTCAAAGAAAATAAAGCTATCCATTATGATCTTAGTCCGTGAAAAGTTTTCTTAAGAACTCAAAAGGCAAAAATCAGAGTGGTAAATTCAATGATACCAAGATGACAACACTTGTGTCACAGGAAAGACATGTGAGGCTGTAACACAAGCCACAGCCTGACCGAAGATACTTGGCAAGACAGTAAAGCAGCCGGGATTTGAGGGTTCAGGAACAGGTAAAGTATTTCTTAGTTAAAAACAGCCAAGCGTTTCTCAGGAGGAGACTCAAATGGCTAGGAAGTGAACGCAACCCTGTCTCACCGCACCAGGAACACAAGATAACCAGCAAGGGATCACTTCCTAGCTAGCAGATGGGCAAAAGTATCGAAGGGAGTTTGGCACTAGCAAGCCCCAGGAGACTGGAGAACACCCCGAGGGTGAGCACACTGGCACACTCTGAGCCCCCCCCCCCCCCAATTCCTACTTCAGAAGCTCTGGGGCTGGTGGAGAAAATGGTCTAAGCTCTTGACTACTAACTGAGAAGTTCAAGTCCACCCAAAGGTGACCAGAAAGAAAGACCCGGGAACCTACCTCGCCTAGTTCTACTCTGACGCACATGCGAACAGCTGCTGGATTTAAACTCCCGAGTGTGCCTATGGCGAACCACTCCAGTGTGAGGCGTCTCCCCTGGAGACACTCCAGCCCATATAAATGGGCATTTAGGGGGTGGGGGTCGGGGGAGGATAGCAGCATTAGATAAATAGGGGACTTCAAAGAGTGTTGGGGCCATTCCGTTGTCTTTTTAATCTCAATTTCCCACCAACTTTTTGAGGCCTCCCTGTATTTGTTTGTATTTAGGATACTGATAAAGTTATTCTAAAACAAATTATTTTAAGGGTTACCAAAAGGGGGGGACCTAGGTAAACCCTGATACAATTACACAGTAAAATACCTCACAGCAGTTAAAAAATGATCAACCCATATAGATGCCTTTGACGCAGACACAAATGAATCTCCAAACCCACGTGGTCTGGGCAAAGCTAGCTGCAAGAGGCCGGGCAATGTGCCCGTCTGCCAACCGGAAGACCACGCCCAGCCACAGGGGGCATTATGCACGGGGCCTCGTGCCTGGGAGACCAGTAGACAGAGACTAGAAGGGCAGATGCCCCCGTGGGTGGGGAAGGGCTGACTGAGGCTGGAGTGATCTGTGTTCCGTCCGGCACTCACAGATCACCCCCGCATTTCTAAAGCAAGTCCGAAGGATCCGTTTGCCCATTCCGGGTCGTGGGTGACCAGGTGTGTGGGGTGGCAGTCTCTGCACTTGATGATGCGAGTCTGTACGATTACAGTCATCATAAAGGGCAGAGGAAAGGGGCTGGTTTTCAGTCCCCCCGCCCCCCGCTGAGGGGGGCGTGGAACACACCAAACATAGAACATGGCACGTCTTACTTCTGGCAGAAGAGCTGGCCGCAGTTCCTGCAGTGGTGTCTTCGCTCCGTGAGGGAGAACCGCACCGCGCAGCCCGAGCAGCTGTCCCCGCCTTCATCCTTGACCCAGTGGTCGGCAGCACAGCGGCCCGGCTGGTCACTCACCGACCAGCTGAAAACCCGGCCCCGACTGTCGCCGACCAGGATCCTGCTGTGATCCCTGCGGGAGACGGACACAGTGGGTCACCTCACAGAAGACCCCACACAGCCCCCAGTGGAATCCCTCTGCCTGCTGCCCCTAGTGATTTGCTTCTCTCTATGTGTGCCGGTCTGTGTGTCTCTGTGTGTGTGCGCCCGAGGGTGCCAGGAGGGTGCCCTGGGGGCAGGGGGCTGCCACCCGCGAGCTGCCTCCCTCAGGGGAAGGAGACGTCACACGAGAGAAACAGAACTGAGCCCATTTTCCCATTTCCATTTCATCTCTCTGGGTGAAATCCTGCCGTGCCTTTGGAAGACCCAAGGAGGAGAGAGGTTTTCTTTCTTTGTCCATTCAGAATGCACGCAGACAACGCACACACTGGCCGGGGTCTGCTTTGGACGGGTGTCTCTGAGCCACTCTGCTTCCCTCTAGCACGTGGGGCCCCGAGGACAGGACAGGCCGGACACGTACTTGGAGATGCCCAGGGCGGTGATCTCTGCGGGGTGCGCGTTGTCCTTGCGATCGAAGGCCGTGTGCATTGTTAGCTTGCTCCTGAACACCAGCTGCCGTTCCCACCTGTACCCTGGAGCGGGAAATTAGGGGACATGATGTACAACGTCTGGTTGCTGTGCCCTCACAGAAGCTGGGACACGTCAACACAGTCACGGCCACGTTTCAGGTTGTCGGGAAAGCGTGCAGTTTGCCCTTCATGAGGGGCCACACTACTCAAAGAAAACCTGCAGAGAGAGGGCCCTCTTCCACGCCAGACAACCACAGACACACACACCGTTTCTCCAAGCGAGGACCCCGCCTCTAAGTCGGCCATCTGAGGCAGCCCCCCAAACAAACCAAAACTCACTGCCACCAGGTCGATGCCAACTCACAGCGACCCCACAGGACAGAGTAGAACTGGCCCTGTTGGCTGCCAGAGGCGGGAAATCCTTCAGGGAGTAGAAAACATCATCTATCCCTTGAGGAGAGGCTGGGGGTTTTGAACTGTTGACTGTGTGGTGAGCAACCAAACGCGTAACCACTACGCCACCGGGGCTCCTCCTTTTGGGTAAAGCTCCCGGGAATGCAGTTGCATTTACGTCATTGGTGTAAACCAGCTCTCAAAAGCTGACCTGGGACTCAGCAGTTTGTGGTTGAGGCAACACATTGCTAACCCCGTGGGGGGTTAGCATCTCCAAGTTCACTGTACATAAAAGGGTGCTGAGGAGGCCTCCATGGGGACGCAGGTCACAGAGCGCATGTGCCAGAGAACGCACGCATACACGCACACACGCTACAGGGAGCCAGAAAGAGGTATCCGTTACCAGGTTTCAATCGGCTGTAATTCCGCACGTCGATAGGATTGCAGTGGGGGTGGTTCAGCGGACCCTGCAGATGGGCTCGGGACTGGCCCTCCGAGTAGTTCACAAATACGAAGCCGTCTTTCTCGTCTAGGCTGAGCTGATCGGACCAGCGTCGGGAGTCATCAGAGCCGCTGTCCGTACACCAGGTGGCCGTGGCTCGGCATGAGGCTGCTCTGGGCCTGTGGCCGGTGCCCGTGGGCTGGATGGGCGGCTCCTTGGGGTCCTGGCTGACGCTCTGCTCCTCCTCCACATCTGAATCGCTACTGTCTTCGTCCTGGGCTTCGTGCCCTGTTGGGTACACATCACCGCGTTTAGGCCCACTGAGCCTGACTGGCATTTTCCCTACTACGTAAGTCACTGTAGACCCTATGCATAGCTATAAAAGAGGCTGGGGGGAGGGTGTCTCACACAATGGAAAAACCTAAAAGGACAGAATTTCTGAACGAGTTCACAAAAAACTCTAGCCAAAATCCGTAGGCTAGCATCCAGTCTGGCCAGATCCGGCCTTCGGCGATTTCTTGCAATACCCCTCCCGCTGTCTTACTGCGCAGCTAGAGGGCGCCTGGTGCTCGCCCTGCAGACCTGCTCCTCTTTAGTCAGCCCGCGGCTGGACAAACCCTTGGCCGGACTAGATGATGGATCTTGCCAACCTCTGCCTGCTCTGGTGCTGCCTGCTTTTCAAGGAAGAGCTTGAATGGTTTTCTTCTCTAAAGTCTTTACTGATCTGCTTGAGCAGTGATTACCATTCCGATGTTCTTCCTTCTACAAGCCAGTGACCGGGGCCCTGAGCACAGTGCCCCAGCTCTGGCAATTGGCGGGTGCTTGACCCAACAGTGGCTGAATGGACGGAACTTGAGCAAAGAGCACATTATAGGAGGGGTTTCAAAAAGCTACGGAAAATGCCAGTATTTTTCACGGCATTTTCCTACAAACTCTTGGAAACCTCTTCACGATCAAGGATTTTGTTTTTCTCCCATTTCCAGTGTTATTTTGCATCTCCTTAGCGTAACGTCCACTTGTTTGCATTTGAGCGTTCTGGGGGTGGGGGTGGGTGGTGGCAGGGGCTGAGAGAGAAAGGGAGAGGAAGCACATACACTAGCCTACGACAGACATATCCCCCACCCCCTCCTGAGCTCGCCTGCGCCTTCATTCTGCCTGCCCGTTAGTCTAGCTGACCACTCTGAATGGATTCTTTTCCTTGAACCTCAGTCTGCAGATAAGCACTCTCAGAAAGGGCGTTGAACTCAAGTGAGTCACTGGCTCCCTGCTCTTTTATTCAAGCAACAGCCCGCAACTTCTGCGCTGCCCACCCTTCCCTGTGGGCGGGCCTTCACTCAAACCTGGGGCACAATTTATCAGGCCGAGAGGACAGTGTTTCTCCGGCCTGGATTCAGCTCACCCTCCGCTGCCAGGCATGCACAAGCTTCTCCAAAGGACAGGCAAAGTGATCCACTCAAATGGGGCCCACAATCCAGTGTCTGACACCTACTCGCAAGCTCAGCTACTCAGTGGAGCCAACTGAATTCTTATGTCCCTCAACCCTCAGATGGCCTTCTGGGTGGAGCTCTAATCGACTCCACAGGAATTTATATGTATGAAGGTAATGCAAGCATTAGCATGTATTGCCCAAGGGAGCGTTTTTTACGTTCTGCATGGAGAGTAAATGCTCTTTTGGCATTGCATAAGAATGTGTCTCTCTCTGATAGTAAGTGTATTTCCCCCTGAGTAACTCTACCACATAAGTAAACTCACATTGAATTTTCAGTGAGAAACAGTAGTTCATCACAGAGACAATCGAAAAGTCAAGCATTAAAACCCAGCTCCTTTCGAGAGAGCTCCTTGTGCCAACTGTTCTCAACCATTATTCTCAGTCTGGAGATCAGGGGCTCAGAGCGGAGCACTGCACAGCGCAGTGTCCGACTGCACCAGATATTGTCACCCAGCTCCTGATTTCACTGAGAATTGTGCAAGAACTTTGTGGGTCCGAGAAGGTGGTGCACTGATTGTGAGCTGGTTGTGACTCATGGCGAGGCTGTGTGTGCAGAGCAAGAATGCTCTACAAAGTTTCTAGGGCAGGACCTTTAAGGAGATCACTAGAACTCTGGCTAACTTTGAACCACCAACCTTTGGGTCAGGGGTCGAGTGTCATCCTGGTTTCAGTTGGAATTATTGCCCTGTTGAAGGTGGACTCTGGTCTGTCCCTGTAAATCACACACCCTCGTCCAGACTGAGCTAGGCAGCTGGTGGGCGAGGGGAGGAGATGAGGGGCTGAGGGGCAGCCCCTGACTCATTCAGCACCGAACCCTCTGTGCTTCCAGAAGGGGCAGATCAAGCTTTTGGTGCTCTAAGCAGTTAGTAAGGGTGCTCCGGTTGAGCTAGGGAACTCAGAGCAAGAGAAGACCACACGGAATGCTGCTCAGGGAACTGGGGAAAACCTGGCAGGACCGCTCCTGCTCAGGGAATCACACAATAGGGAGCTGTGCCCAAGCTTAGGCTCACGTTTATGTTGTGTGATGATGTAACTTCACCCATGGTGACTTGTGAAAAACAAACAATTAAGAAAACAATTGATCATGGATCAAATTGGGTCCTTCTGAGATATCCTATAAATGGTGTCCCAGTGACACAGAGGTTAGGCTCTCAGCTGCTCACACAGTGGTTTGAACCTAACAGCCACTCTGTCAGCTCCAGTACAGATTCCTGTCTTGGAAACCCCATGGGGCAGTTTGTCTGTCCTAGAGGTTCTCTACGAATCAGTGTCAACTCTACGGCAATACATTCGACCTGTGAGTTCGAGCCTGCTTGGGACTAATAAAGTCACAGCCAGTGTAGGTTGGCTCTCAAGCCTAATCCTTTCTGTGTTTCAAAGGAGCAGCACAGCAGACACACTGTGTCTGTCCACCAGGTCAGGAACTCCAAATACTGCCAGCAACGACAAGAAGATGCAGACAAAGAAAGACCTCCCACTAGAACATGCCCCGAGTGTGCCCTTCTGGTCTCCCGAGGTGTGAGGAAATAAGCTCTGCTCTTGAAGGGCGCCCACTCGTGGTGTATTTTGTTAAAGCAGAACAAGGCAATCTGGACCCGGCTAAGGTCTTACATACCCATTTGTGCTTCTGGACAGTCTTCCTGCATCGCCAGGACCTCAACAGGCTCAGGAGCTGGTGTTTCGGGAACTTGTAAGAACTCCATTCTCCAAAACTGAATGTAAGGAAGCATTTAGCAAAGAAATAGGTGAAGGAAACATTAGTACTCCACGGAGGGAATAAGGGCCTGGTAAGGAACTGGGGGCTGGAGAGAGAGGGTGGGCGTGTGCTACCATAACTGGCAGTCCTACATGGACTTAGATCTCCCTGGATCTTAAAAGAACATGGCAGGGGATTATCTCACATAGGTTAGAGAGTAGCCCACGAACGTTGAAGAAGAAGGAAGGCACTGAAAAAGCGCATGTGACAGTTGCATGTGTGATCTTTAGACTCGGCTTCTTGAGGAGTAACGCTGACGGCAACGGCCACTGGCACATTGCAGCAATATGCTGTGGTAGCCATCAGTAGGAGTTCTTTCTTTTGGTCAGGTTTGCCTCAGAAGGTGTCACTGCCTTCGCTGACGAAGAGTCTAACATAGAATGGGATGGACCGTTCAAGGAGGATGGGACAGGCAGTGTAGACGGGGGCCCCCCCAGCTGTTCGGGTGTGTGTGTGTGTGTGTGTTTCAAGGGAGCAGAGAGGATGGTAGTCCAGGAAACAGAGAAGACCCAAACACCACACTCACTGCTAGCGAGGCAAGTCTGGCTCGAGGACAGGGCACAACTGGCCCTCTGGATTTCCAAGACTAAAGCTCCTTCTGGGAGCAAGAGGTATGAGTCAGCCACTCCGTCACCAGGGCTCCTGAGCTTGGGAGACAGCGTTTGACAAAGCAAACCTGCTGTTCTCTGCTGGCTCTATTTCTGTAGGGGCTCACTCCACCCAGAGAAAGAGGGCACCACACACGAGGGATCCACACGAGGAGTCGGCTCGAGGCCTCTGGAAACCCGTTCCAGCTCTGCTTCTCAAAAGTTATGATGCAATTTACATTTTTAGCAATCCCCTTGTGACATGGGAAGTGTGTGTGTGAGACACCGACCGTCTTTGGCACGGCTGTCAGTGGCCAATAGCACGCAAGAACTCCGCAGGAAGCAAAGGGGCCAAAAGTCACTGTAGGAACTGGAGAGAGGTTTGCTAATCCCCAGCCATTACAGGGACACTGAGCGGCCACCTGCGTGAGTTTCCCCCTCGGCTCACTTACCCGGACCACCCCGTCCGAGTGTCCCGTGACGATGACATTCTGCGTGTCCCACTCGTTCATCTCCGACATGCAGCAGCACACGATCTGCTGGCTCCGGCCTGTGAACGTGTTCACACTCACCACGGGGTTCCCGTTAATGCTCCACACGTGGATGTACGTGCCGGCGCAGGACACGATGTCCCCCTGAGGAACAGAAGGAAGACCCCTCACTCTCGGTCCCACTTTCGGAGGGCACGGAGCCCGTGGGTGAACTCTGGAGACGCCTCTCACCTCTCAGCGCTGACACGGAGTCATTGCGGAGGTCACCTAGCGTTCGGGGCTGGCTGCCCAGGGCTGCCCACTGGGGCCCAGACACAGCCCGACCAAGGCTCTGCAGGAAGCCAACACTGAGTGGCAGCTGTGGCCAAGGGGATTGGACGGGCTTTGCTGGACCTCCATTTATGTCCCAAGCACCCTGCTGGGGGCGAAAAACAACAACAACTGCCCCCACCACCACCACAAACAAGCAGACCTGCACACACACACACACCCACGCCCCACCCCCGGCTTTTAGGGGCAGATATTCGGGACACAGGCCCCAGGCTTTCTTCCAAGACCCAAACCTCCAGTGTATTGGTTGGCCACCTAGAGCATTCCCCAAGCACGTTAGCCTTTGACCACCCTGAGGTGACCAGCGACGGCACCTTCACTGCAGAACAGGGGAGTAGGGAGAAGGTGCTGACCACTCCCACCCCTCGGGCCACCTAGGGTCTATCTAGGATGCCTTTACAGGCAGCTCCACTGAATGAGCAACGTGGGTCCCACCGCCGGAGGCACAGGGCAGAAGAGAAGCTGCTGTTAGGGCACAATGGTGTCGCTCTCTAGCAATCAGGGGAAAAAGGTCTCTCTGCTTTTCTGAACTTCCTATGCAAATGCGGGGCGGGGCGGGGGC